GCAAGTGCTCGTGTCAATTCACACGAGCTCAAGAATAAAAAATAAAATTCATCTACTCGTGTGAATTTACACGAGCACTTGGCAAGTGCTCACGTAAATTCGCACGAGTAGATGAATTTTCGGGAAAAAAACGAAAAACTTACATTCGGGTCTAAGTTGTTTGGATCCATCGCAAAAATTGTTGAATATCTGAAATTTTTCACTTTGAATGTTGAGTTTTATATTTTATAGGATTTGGTAGGAATAGTACAAAAGGTAAATAGTTATGGTAAAAAGGTAAAAAACCATGGTAAAAAGTGCCTGAATGTTTAATTTGGCCTGCATATATCACCACCCTAAAAAAAAAATGCCAAAATCATGTATTATATTAATGGGGTAATGGCAAATAGGCCCATGACAAGGGCAATTAATTAAAAGAGGGACATCCAATTTTTTTGTCTTTCAAATAAATCCAACCCATTCAAACTTATTTGCAAATAAGGAAAATCCTTCATATATACCAAAATTACCCCCAATTCATTGAAACCCAATTCAACTCCAATTTCATGATTTACACCATAATTTAGCCCAATTTCATCAATTAACCAATTTTAACCATAATTTCAATTTTGATCCCAATTTTAACCATAATTCTTATCAATTCCACCCATTATGCTCTAACTTCCTTAATATTACACATTGACCCCGGATTTAAACAAATATATCACATTAACCCCCAAAACTTTTTTTTTTGCAGAAAATAATTTTTTTTCTAAAATATTTTTTTTCCGGCCAGATTCCGGCGTTGACTTTTTTTTTTTTTTTTTTTTTTTTATAATTTTGTTTTTTCTTAAAAAAATTATTTTAATTAATTTTATTGTCTTGGCTGCTAAATTACTGTCTCCGGTAGCTATTTAACTGTCGGAGACAGTAATTTAACTGTTAATTGACTATTTTTTTTTTCTTCAAATTTTTTTAATTAATATTTCTGTATTCGTTGCTAAATTACTGTCTCCAGCAGTTATTTAACTGTCGGAGACAGCAATTTAACTGTTAATTGACTTTTTTATTCTTAAAAAAAATATTTTTAATTAATATTACTGTATTCGTTGCTAAATTACTGTCTCCGACAGTTATTTAACTGTTGGAGACAGTGATTTAACTGTTAATTGATTTTTTTATTCTTAAAAAAAATATTTTTAATTAATATTACTGTATTCGTTTGCTAAATTACTGTCTCCAGCAGTTATTTAACTGTCGGAGACAGTAATTTAACTGTTAATTGGCTTTTTTTCATTTTTTTTCTTAAAAAAAAAATATTTTAATTAATAGTACTGCCTTAGATGTTAAATTACTTTCTTCAACAGTAATTTAACTGTCTTAGACAATAATATTAATAATATTATTGTTCGGAAAAATAATATTCATAATATTACTGTTCGGAAAAAATAATATTCATAATATTACTGTACCAAACAGTAATATTACTGTCTGAGACAGTAATTTAGTAGCTAAAACAGTAATATTAATTAAAATATTTTTTTTCTAAGAAAAACAATTCCAAAAAAAAAAAATGTCAACGCCGGAGACCGCCGGTCAACGGTGGTTGACTGACCGGAAAAAAAAAATTTCAAAAAAAAAAAAAAAAAGTCAACGCCGGAGACCGGCGGTCTCCGGCGGTCAACGCCGGAATCTGGCCGGAAAAAAAAACATTTCAGAAAAAAAATTATTTTCTGAAAAAAAAAAGTTTTGGGGGTTAATGTGATATATTTGTTTAAATCCGGGGTCAATGTGTAATATTAAGGAAGTAAGAGCATAATGGGTGGAATTGATAAGAATTATATTATTGAGGGTATTTTAGACTAAAGACATGGGGATGGGTTTAATTGAGAGACTGTTTTTTTTGTGGACTAAAATGCATTTAAGTCCTATGTGATGGGCCTTTTTGCCATTTGCCTTATATTAATATATTGCATTACAATAAAAAAAACAAATCTCAATCTCAATCTCAATCTCTAATACTTAGAGTGCACATAGGATATTTTGAGATTTTTGTTCGAGAATCATCTCCAATGCGAATATCAAAACAAATCTCCAAATGACGCGGCACTTGTGATTTTAAAGATTCTTAAGATGACACTCTGAAATTGAAGTTTCGTCTTGAGGATCTCTAAAGTGTCAACTCATCAGTTATCACATTTTTATTTGATTTTCTAAGAAAAATATTTTGAGTCTTGAGTGTTGTATCGGAGAAAATTTTGCAGCAGTCCGCAGATAATACAAATCTTGCCAAATAGGATAGAGAAAATTTTATAATTCATATTTGGTTGAAGATGGACTAATATAATTAATAATTAAGCAAAGTAGAAAAATATGATTTGCTAAAATTTCACTACCTAAAAGAAACATAGTAAGTGTACTTTTTCCATTTTTGAGGTCAATATCTCTAACAAAAATACCAATATCTACAGAATTACACACACACACACTGGAAAACAGAGAAGAGAAGCTTCAAAGAGAGAGAAACAAATGGTGGAGGAAGCGAGCAACAAGCAGGTTATACTAAAGGATTACGTAAAGGGTTTCCCTAAAGAATCGGATTTGATTTCCCAGACGAATGCAACGACGCCGTTTTGGTGAAGAATCTCTACTTGTCTTGCGACCCTTACATGCGCGGCCGCATGGGGAAAACGGAGGGCAGCTACATTGACTCTTTTACGGCCCCTGGTTCGGTTAGTATTTTCTGATTGGCCTTTTCTTTTATTGGTGTTTAATTTGTACTCTGTGATTCACCGGTTGTACCTTGGTATGGGGAGATTCAGAGAAGTAGTATGTTTGGTCTATATATGGGAAATTTACAGTTTTCATCCCTCAAGTTTGCAACAATTTTACATTTGGTCCTCCTTGTTCATAAAAAAACACATTTGGTCCCTTGTTTTTCAATAATTTGACACTTTTAGCCATTTCCGTCAATTCACTGTTAGTCCGTCGGTTACGGCAGTGATAAGCAAACGTTTGATTTTGTACGGAAATTTGACGGAGATGACTAAAAAGTTGAATTTTTGAAACATGAGGAACCAAATGTGTTTTTTGTGAACATGATGGACCAAATTGGAAATCGGTGAAAACTTGAGGGATGAAAATTGAATTTTTCCCTTTGTTCTATTCTACACCCATGACCCATCAATGAATTATACTGGAAAAATTAAAGTTTTCACCCCTCAAGTTTTAGACTGATTACATATTTGGTCCCCTATATTAAGAAAAAATATATTTGGTCTTTCATGTTTCAAAAATTCAACACTTTTAGTCATTTCCGTCAACTTACCGTTGGTCCGTCAGTTAAGGCAGTGAGGGTACACACTTGATTATGTTGTGAAATTTCTGCAAACTTAAAGGGTGAAACTGTATTTTTCTCGAATTTATTTCATCGTATATATCCTAGTATGAAGTACTGTGAGGTATAAATAACTATAAACACAAATTTTATTAATACTTAGACGATTACCGGATATGGAGTGGCGAAAATCGTGGATTCTTCTAATCCCGATTTCAAGAAAGGCGACTTGATTTGGGGCTTAACAGGCTGGGAGGAGTACAGCCTTATTAGATCAACACAGGGTTTATTCAAAATTCAGAATGCAGATCTGCCTCTCTCCTACTACACCGGAATTCTCGGTACGTAAATTGACGTTTTCGCCCTTCTCTCGTTTTTTTTTTTTTTTTTTTTTTGCAAGCATGCATGTATGTATGTGATGGACTTTATAATATGATATATAGGTATGCCTGGTCATACTGCTTATATTGGTTTTTATGAGATTTGTTCTCCGAAAAAGGGAGAATATGTGTTCGTTTCTGCTGCATCGGGAGCCGTTGGCCAACTCGTTGGCCAATTCGTCAAGTTGTTCGGGTGTTATGTTGTCGGCAGTGCTGGAAGCAAAGACAAGGTCTTTACAAATATATAAATTAAAGATCACAAAATTCAATTTTTTTCCCATTATATATATATATATATAATTTTTTTTTTAATCAATTTTGTGTGAAGGTGGATCTTTTGAAGAATAAATTTGGTTTTGATGATGCATTCAACTACAAAGAAAAACCTAATTTAGATGCGGCTTTAAAGAGGTTAGTTTATTATTTCGTACACGAAATCTGCAAGTTAGCAAAATAAATATATTTTTTTAATAAAACGAATGAACTAGCAACGGAACATATATACGGGTGCACTGAGTAAAATTACACGTAAAACACAATGTGGCAAAAACCTCAACAACAACAACGTCTTCTTGGGTAAAGAAAATAGTTTACCGCAAAATCAATTTCATCACAATTTACCTAGCTAATAGGAACCAAAAAAACTATGTTCAGAGTTTATGTTCTAATTTGCTTTTGCATTTTGATTTTTCTCATTTCAAAAATTATGAAAATGTTAGTTATTTCCCGAACGGCATCGACATTTACTTTGAGAACGTGGGAGGAAAGATGCTCGACGCAGTGCTCCTCAACATGAGAGTCAACGGCCGCATTGCCGTTTGTGGGATGATATCGCAGTACAACCTTGAAAATCCAGACGAAGGTACTCGAAACTTGTTGTGCCTTGTAACAAAGCGAATACGCATGGAGGGATTCTTGGTTTTCGATTACTACAACCTCTATCCAAAATTCTTGGAGATGGTGGTCCCGCTCGTTAAACAAGGGAAAATAACGTACGTTGAGGATGTAGCCCAAGGCCTTGAGAATGCACCAAACGCTTTCGTTGGGCTCTTCTCCGGCCGCAACGTAGGGAAGCAAGTTGTGGTTGTGGCTAGTGAGTAGCTTGTTTTGTTATGAAATTGTCATCAAGGGCTTCCTTAATTTGGTTTTTAATTTTGTTTGTGTTGCTAAATGACACTGTCATCTTTGTTTTTCATTTCATCTTGTATTATTTTTTTTTTTTTTTACTATTGGAGATATGAATATTAAATAATACATTTCACACCTACAATGATATTCGTCCTCAAACATTGCCGCCACAATTAGATCCTCAAAAGGGTAAATAGCACTTAACACTCCTGTGGTTACAAGCTTTTGCCAATGACCCCTCTGTGCTCGTCAAATTAGCACATAACCACCTTGTGGTTGATAGGGGTAGCTTTCGTTAATTTTTCGCTCAAACTTAACCGCGTGTGTCAAACTTCGAGGGGTCATCTGCAAAATTGAAAGTACAAGAGGGTCATCTGCAAAAAATACTTTGACGTTTGAAACTGGCGGTTAAGTTTCACGGAAAAACTAACGAAGCTATCCTCACTTATCACCACGAGGAGGT